CTTTCTTAGAGCAGGCTGCTCAGAGCTCCATCAAGCCTGAACTTGAATATCTCCAGGGATGGGGCCTCCACTACCTCTCTGGGCATATTATTTCATATCGGTCCTGTCAAGCTGATCTCCAGTCCTACTTTTACCTGCATCAAGGGAGACACCACAAAACTGTTCAATAAATGAGTTACTATAAAGGCATTTAAGTGCAGCCTTTGGCATTTCATGGTTCAATTTCTATAAAAATAGAAATATGGAAGTCTATTGTATCATTAAAGTTAATTTTTGGAAAAGGTTCTAGTGGGTTTCTTTGGAGTGCAACTGGAAATCATTTTAATTTTTAAATAAGGCCAACACATGTTTACTGCCAACATGTATTAGTATGAAATTTCAGCTGCAACATTTATATATATATGCTCATTTTAATATTAATTTCCTGTTTAACTATTCAATTATCTTGTTTCAAAACTAATTTTGTACATAGTTTTCCTGTTTGCTGTTTTTTAAGTTAAGGTTAAAATATTCTAACATATTTCTGTTCAACTTCTAATTCAAGTTCAGTTTTGATAGCCATAGAACATAATTTTTCAGAAATCTATTTGTTTCTTTATGGAAAGAATAAAAACCAATCCTTCACACTCCTCACTAATCTTACTTAAAATCCTGCAAGATATAGAAGGCACTTGCAAGATAGAAATATTTTATTAAAATCCAGAATTTCTCAGGGATTTCATGTGTTACTACAATAACACTGCACAGACATAAACCCCCTCCTTGTTACATGTAAATTTTATTTCAAACAGTCAAAAAATCTGAGGAGTTATGTTAAACATATTCCAGGTTATAGGAGTGGAAGAAAAACCCCAAAGCTCATCTATTCGAGTATGTCTTGGATGTTACAGCCTTTCAGTTAGGTAAGAAAAATACACGACCATCCGTCAGAAACCTGCTTAGACATGTAGACGCGCTAAAATCAAACAGTCACAACTCTCCATGAACACGGGACTGGCTCATTGTACATTGCACTTATAAGTGTCCCGGATCAAACGCCTGGGCACATTCTGCTCCTCCCTTTGGGGACAGTGGCACAACAGATCACGCCAGGATGAATTCAGCTGGTATGGAGACCTGTTAGTAGACCCACAGCCAGGGTTTCCAGCTCCTCTGCTACCTCCCCAATACCACCTTAGGGGAAACACAAGTTAAAGACATCTAGATAATGTCTTCATCAAGAGATGTCACAGGTACTGCCACGTGGCAGTATACCATTTCATAGCACATAGAGTGACGTTTTGTTAGCTAAATGTGAGCAACAAGGTTTTTTATATCTAGTCCATCTTCAGCATTCAATATTCAGATAAGTACTATATGTCTGTGCATGTGCATACACACAAGCAAGTAAGCACAGTTGTGTCACTGTGGTGGTTTCACGTGGCTAGCAGCCAACACAGCTGTTCACCCACTCCCCTCCCCACCCTCAGGGGAGAGGATTGGGGCAAGGGTAAGGAGACTGGTAGGTTGAGATAAGAACAATTTAATAATGGAAATAGAAGAAAACTTAAAATAATACCAATAGTAAAATAGTAATGATAATAACAGCAATAAAATATGCAAATGATACACAATACAACTGCTCACCACCTGGCGACCAAGCCCAGCCCATTCCCAGATAAGGATCCCAGAGGAGCAACAATCCCAAATCGAAACTGCAATCCCAGAAGAGCAAGAGCCCGAGCGAAGGCCAGAGAGAGACAAAAGAGGAAGAGACCCTCACTAATACACTGGACATTACGTGATATCATATGGAATAGCCTATTGGCATATCCAAATGCCTATTTAGCTTATTCATTTCAATATTCCTCGCCCCCTTAGATCTTGCACCTGTAGACTAACAGAACATGAAGTCCTTCACGTCGTCCAGTGACAAAAACACTGGTATGTTATCAGTGCTTCCCTCATAACAAATCCCAGACTGAAAGCAAAATGCAGCAGTATTCTAGCTACTAAAATGAAACCCAGCTCTGTCCCAGCTAAAAACCAGGACAGTCACCTAATATTTGATGCTATCATTGAAGAGATTGAAAAATGCCCTAGAAGACAACTAAGAGAAAGTATTCTTGCAATCATCTTTAACTATTACCATTCCTTAATTATTATTTCTTTTGTACGCAACAGTGATGGGACAGTTGAGCACTTCGTTTCCTAAGCATCGAGCAAAGCTGGAGAGCTGTGGGAGTGTGACCAGCTGTGGGCAGCCTGGCACTCGCAGACCCATGAGATGGGGCTCGCAGCGCTCTCACCCCACTGCTCTGGCACGCATCTTGGCTGCCCGGTGTGATGGAAATCCACAGCATTGTCAATTGAAGGAGATGGAAACGTAATACTGCAAGTACAACCCAGGATTCTCATTTTATTGCATGGACCTTCAAACATGTCAGCATTATCATGTCTCCAAATACATCAGAGCTGGTCATCAGACTCATGTTTTCCTTAAATTGCCCTTGGGATGAAAAGTTAGTAAATTGAAATGGGATGATTGATTAAGCCCTTTTTCTCAAGAAAAATCAAAATCCTAACACAAGGATTTCACAAAATGCCAGCATACATAAGTACTTTCTCCCTACACCAGGGCTGAAACCCCAAAGCAAGGACAAAAGAAAGAGGAGAAAACTACATTATGATATACTGCTGGTTTATGCAGAAGTTGACACTAGGCCACAGGTTTTGCTCTAATTATAGAAAAGATACCTTTTTACTCAAAAATCATCACTATTACCTAATAAAAACATGCTGTGTAGAACATTGGGTTTAAAGTCACTTTGACAGTAGATTTTCAGAGGGATTCTGTGTCAGCAGAGCTGAACACTTCCTATCCCTTAACTGGAGTTTTGGGGCTGAAAAGAAAATGGTCCTTCTGGGGATGGAGGAGACTACAGTTCCCCTTCTGCCAAAGCAGTTGTCGAGGGACCATGCTATAAATGAATTGATCTGAGTTTAGCACAGGAGGAGGAACATTATTTCAGATTTCTACATTATTTCAGTGAATGATTTACAGGGCAACCTCCCAAGAAAGGTACAGGTGAACATGGGGGAACAACTGGAAAGAGCACGCAGCCATGGAGTTTGTACCTCTGAAGTAGCATTTGCTTCCATGGGAAATATTCATATGACTATAACCTGCTTGTGTGCCAATTATTCCAGTATAAGTCTACATATATTACTATGAAGAACTATTAAGAATGTACTTATTCTGTGCATAAACAAGTTAAATTGTTTTTGCAACATTTTGTACTAAGCATTTGATACAAAAAAAAAAAAAAAAAGAAAAAGAAGCAAAAGTAGTCTGGTACGAGTCACACAAGCATATTTATTATATAAATATTTTATAAATTATAAGATTTTAATTATAAATGTAAAAATTTCTAGGAAAATAATGTTTTGTATTCTTATTAATGTTTACAACTAATATAAGGCACATAGTGCAAAAATACATTTCTGATGCAGAGATCACAAAATCATAACCTACATGTATTATCTAAAAAGTAGCTGCTTACACTTCTGTGGTACAGTGTGGTTTCTAATTAATACATATTGCTGATTCATGGCTAACTTTGTGGGTAAAAATATGATATAGCTGCCATTTGATCTACCAATTTTACTGTCATGCAAAACATATTTGGTTTACAGAATGCATATTGTCAGAAAAAGTTATGCATAGCTATCTCATAGATAATGTATGTTATCATGTGTGTAGAAAATTTTATTCTGAATACCTGAGAGCTGGCCCTGAAATGCATTATCTTTATATGCATATATTTCTACAGTTCTGGCCTGTAAAATAATACAAACTAACAAATCAAAGAGCTAGATCTTTTTTTAAACCTTATAACTCTTTCATACGCTTACTTTTCTGGAAGGAATATTTTTAACTAAGAGATGTTAGAACTGTATTTACAACCATTGAAAAATTAAACTGAGTCAAAGATGGACACCAAACACACTGTGAGGCTTGATGCTGCCTCTGCCTGGAGTTTTCACTAAGGTTACTGAAAATTATGCTGAATTGGGATGTAAGAGGGACATACACTACAGCCTTTACTAAGATGCCATTGGCCAGGATAAAGGCATAAGGTGTATATGGTAAGTGTTTAAGTAACTACATATTCATACAATCACATACAAGATGCTACAGTAGACAGAATACACTGCTTTTACAGTATACTTGGAAGAGAGACAGGGATTTAAAATGAGATCTCCAATCAATTTGTTTCCTTATTTTCATTTCCTGTAACCACAACAAAACTAAGCCTAGATGTTTAATATGTGCTATAGAGACTACAGAGGTTAAACCACACTGCTCAGTATTACTGCTAGTATTTGAGCACCACAATGAATATAATGAAAGGGATAGGGGGAAAAAATGCTTTTACTGACAGAGAAACACACAGATCTATAGAATCACTCTCAAGTACGTTGGTTATATACTTTTCTTCTGTAAATTATTGATAGATAATTCCTAAGAGGTTTCACAAAATTTGAAGAATTTTAAAATATTATCTGTCTTTTCCATATAGCAATAACTCTTTCCTTTCTATATTTTAGTACAGCTGATAAAGAAAACCAGTAGAGTATAAATTTTATTGAATACTGCATAAAGAATTGCACTGATTAGTTGTAGGTAAAGTATTACAGTTATAGTACAATTTAGGATGCTACCCATAGTAGTAACCTGAGTGCAATTTACTTGCTAATATATACTGTACATTGACTGAATGCCTCTCCATTAAAACCTGAAGGTTTATGATTCTGTTTTATGCAATTGCTAGCCCACAAGCAGATAATACATCCCTGAACAAACACTCAAGAAAACAGGAGTTCTTAGTAGTGAGCATTACAGCAATGATCTTTACAGAGATGAAAGAATTAAAAAATATATATACACAGCACCTACAATTTGCACCTAAATGGCAGATGTCCCTGCTTTGATGTTTTTACCACATCAGAGTTCTCACTGTATTTGAAGTTGGAGACCAGTAATTGTGTTAGGAATACACTTTCCACAAAATCCTCCACATCTTCCATATATTTTAGTACCATCCTGGGAATTAGACAAAGAGAACAGTCAATCAAGAAAAGCAATTGAAATTGCAGAGCTCCTTGAGGTTTGCACACAATAGACCTTTTGACAAATTGTACCTACAAATACTAAATAAAGAGAAAGAATCAAATTAGCAAAACAGGCACAGAGATCCTTTATCAGTATCACTGTATACCTTCTTTCCTGGTTTACCATCCAATGTTGTCTTAAACTATGCATGTTTACCATTCTTGTTCAACTGTTTTTTTAGTTTCCCATACAAATCAAGTTGGAGGCAAGTAATCTGTAAGGATCCTCTGTAGCAGGTTATCTTTAATAAAAATTTGGGGGGGGGATGTTGCATTTATTTTTTTTAAAGTATTACTAGGTATCTTCAAAAATTCTAATAAACCTGATTAATATTATAACAGGCTCTTAAAATCAGTAAGAGAAGGCTAGGCAGGCAGTGTTGATCTAGATTATATTCTGCTGGGTGGTGTGATTATACATGCCATGAGATCTTTAAGACTAAATTATCAGGCCTAGTTTTCACATTATATCTGGAAGAAGACTTAGATGGGTCAGAGACCTGGTGCACTGTTTTTGAGTCACAACTATCTTTCACCAGAGACTCATTACTTGTACCTCTGGAGGCACAATATTCCAAGAGCAGGGAAAGGAAAAAACATCGACTTACATGGGATTTGTGTATGTCAGAAGTTGCATAGTTTCCCTGAGCAATCCACCTAACTGCATTGGATAATCTCAGACCTGTACCAGCCAAGTTAATGCTGAACTGCCCCTAAGAAAAAAAAAAAAAAAAAAACAACAAAAAAAAAGGCAAAAGGTAAAATATAAAGCTGATAAACAGAGTTCAAAACATTAAAACACTTTACATTGGCATGCCTGCACATATCACTCAGGTTATATCTAGTGATAATTAAGTACTCAAAAGAGTGTACTTAATGTGAGTTAGTTATACTGCACTATATCCTTCTTTTGGACACTCAGGACACAGACACACAAACTACTCTACAGTAAGTAGCACCTGTGCATTCACTGATCTGTAGCACCTGGAGGTTAAAATGAATAAATATATGGCTAAATGGAATGTTTTGCAATACAAACCATTCAGACTGGTTTATTGATTCTAAAATACTTGCCGACACATATACATACTCTGAAAACTAGCTTTAAACCAGCATCAGTTCATATGAGAATAATATATTAAAAGCAACAAACTGCATTACCTTGGTAAGCAAACTGGGGTACATGAAATGATTAAATTGCATTCAGAGTGCAAAATGTTGGAAAGAAGTACTATCTCTACAAAGAGCCTAATGGTCAGTCTAGGCAGCACTACAATCAGAAAACTCTTGCACACCTCCATACAAAGGCCTCAATTTCTGTATTCAGACCTAGTTAAAATTTCCTAAATCCCAAGATCAAAGCATTAGCAAAGACAACATTTCTATTACATATGGCAGCTTCTGTATTTTATTGCTTGATACAGTCAGTTAGATATATTTTTTATATATGTGTGTATATATATATATATATAAATATTTGTGTGGATAGATGTATGTGTGCATTTATAAAAATACAGCATTCAGCCTTCATTCTTGTGATTCACTGAAATTCCTTAATAAAAATTCAGTCTTATATTGTTCAGTATGGCAGATTTGTTTTGAAAGCACTTCTATGCAGAGTTGCTGCATCTATAGCACTCATATACTCAGGGTGAGCTAACATAAACTCATATGGATAGGGTAGGTTGCTCTTCCAGTGCCCAAAAAGTGGAAGATTGCCATTTAATGAATAAAGCATCTGGAGAAAATTCATATAAACAGCATAGAACACTTTCCAAAATTAACAGGCCCAAAGTAACTTCATTCATAGTGATATAATTTTGAAAAAATAAATGAGAAGTGCTATGTACAATTATAATGACAGCTTAACAGCTGTCTAACATGTCATGCAGCATACTCAAGGCCAGGAGAAGATTTCAAGGACAGAGTGCAGGAATGGACGCCTTTTTAGTGCATTAAAAGTGTTGGTTTGAATGCAGATCTTAGAGATGGAAATGTGTCAGTGCAAAACCACGTAAACAGAATGATTCCCCAACAGCAGTTACAGATTGCAAATGGACTTGTATTGTACTAAGCCCAGTGAGTTTGCAGGTTGAAGGTATCCAGCACTGTAATTAACTCTGTTTTCTTGTTAGGGGTTAAGTCTGACTAACTTAAGCACTTCATTTGTACCTAAATTGTCTCTAGCTGCCCTTGAATGCATCCACCCCCATAGCCTCTTAAGATTAAGCACCTAGGATAGATGGACTACAGGGATTCACTTCCATGTAAGTCTGAGCTAGTCTAACTCCCTCTATAACCAGTGAAAAGAAATATGCATATCCAGGGGATGGCTGACCTCATCCTAAGGTGTCTAATAGGGTAAGATGAGCTGAACTGTTTTCTAGGGAATCTCATTTCTGCCAAAGGCAGCCTAGGTTGACTAGTTCAGATGAAGGCTATGTCTGCATTGCAGTACGAGCGGATGTGCAGAGTCAAAATGTTGGGCCAGAGAGCCTGATGTCTGTATACGGACACAGACTGAGCTTTTACTTTGGGCTTTGCAGTTGGAGTGCATTAAGGCCCTTCTGGAGCTCATTGTGTGTTTTAATTTTATCCAGAAGGCATTCTCTTCATGTCTTTCAAGATTACTCTGTGATATGAACCAACAAACAAGAAAAACACAGAGATTCACTTAAAAAGCACCATCCAATCCAAACTAAAACACTAACGCAGACAACACCAGTGGACATATAAATTTTAAATTATACTGCTAAACAGGATTGATTTCCTCCAACAGTCTTCAAAGATATAAAGAGTCAGGAGAGAAACAGAGAAAAGATAAAAATTCTGCAGGATTATTGAAAAGAAAAGTCACCGAAGGAGAACAAAGACTGAGAAGGGATTAGGGGAAACAAAGGATACATTACATCCAGAGAGAGAGAGCAATACATGAAATACATAGAAAGCTGATTATATATACATAGAGCCTAGAGTAAACAATTTTATGAAGAAACAGAAAAAAAATGGTGGGAAAGGAGAGAAAGGAGTAAGAATAAAACTACTTATTAATTTAATAGACAAAACAGAATAGGAGATTGTTTTAGAACCTTACAGTGCTAAACCAGTCACACATTTTTTTTTCTTTTCCTCTTACATCCACATTTCAAATGGATAAGAAGTCATAAATACCTGTGGGCATCTGGCAGCACTGTAGCAATCTCCAGCTGTAGCAAATGGAACTGCTTTCCCAAGTATAGTCTGAGCAAAAAGAAAATCTGTGGCTAGAAAATAGAAAATTACTCAACACTGAAACTGCTGCATCAGAAGGTCAAGTGAAAACAGTGCAAAAAGACATTAACATGGGAGATTTTTGGTTTGTTTGGGGTGGGGTTTTTTTGCTTATTGTTTGGTTGGTTGGTTGGGTTTTTTTGTGTGTGTGGTTTGTTTTTTTACAAACTATGTTTTAAATAGTCCATTTTGGTTAATGCAACATCAAACCAACCTATAAGCCCAGTTTCCTTTCTTGAGATAGGAGGGGGTTAGCTGGAGGACAGATGTGCACTTGGATGCAGCTCTAAGTGAGGTGGTTGTGGACCACCTTGCCACCTTCAGCCAGGGGCTTGAAAATGCTGCAAGATTCCCTGTCCACTTACTAGATCTATCAAGGTCTGAGATGAGACTAACTACACCATAGAAAGACTTTCTCTAGAAAAATATGACAGAGACTAAAAGAAAGTTGAATAATGTGAACCGAACCTTAGAAAATGAAGCTAGTTCACATGTAAAATATGAATCTGCAAGATTCATACCACTTGACCACTTGGGACAAGCTAACAAGGGAAGTAGTGGTGGTTTCTCCATTTTTCTTTGAAATGCCCATTGAATTCCTAAAGAAATTAAGAACTTTGTTTGTTAAAAAACGGCATAATAGTATGCATAATTAGGTCAAATTATAATTTCATAATCACTACTAGTGCAATTTCAATAGACTGCTCACATATGCTAAAACTGCCAAAATGCTTACTTTTAATTTGCATGGAGGCTACATCAAATCTTATTTTGCTAAAAACTGTGAAGCCAGCTGCAAGGTAATCATATCGACAGGCACAGTCTTGCCTTCTGCTTCCATTGAAAGGACATTCATATGGATTTTGCAACCTAGGGAAGAGCAAAGATTTAGTTTTCCTTTTGGCATTTTCCCATAACACAGCATCATAGTGAAAAATAATTGCATTGGACTATGCTGTGTGAAAAATATTAAACAGTTACTGAACAAGAACCTCAGCTATTAATCTTGACTGAAACATTGATTTCTACACCATTAATTCTAAAGTCAAGATAGAAAATATTTATTTATTTATTTTCTGCAATTAACACAATTTCAGCCTGGAAGTATCCACATTTCTGTATTTCTGTGTTCATATATCTGGATATTCAAAACAGAAAATAAAGGAAAAAAAATTCTACTCATCTGTTCTCAGAAACCTAAGTTTTATTTTATTCTTTTATTTTGGAAGAAATAAACGCACTTCATAAAGTTACAAAACCACTTTTGTACCTGAATCCATATACTTCAGAAAAGTTGTCTGCTTCACCTTTTACCAATGTCAAATATTCTTTGGGATTCTCTAAGCGCATGTCTGAGCAGTAAATCTGCAAGAGAAAATACAATCCTTTAGCAAAATCTTTATTGGAGAAGTATTATTTCATAAAAATATGTGCTCATAAAAATTCATAAATATTAACAGTACCTTTATCATCTTTCCCTTAATGTTAAGAGGGTATTCACCATCCTTTTTAATCCCTTTTTTAATCTGGATATCTTTGCAGGTGGTAAAAATTTCACCTTCAAAATGAATAATTAAATCATATTAATATTTCACAAATAGAGCTTAGTTTTAGGACTTACTTTTGCATATTGTGCTCCAAATAAATTTATAGCTTTTCTATAAATAACCTGGGAAAGCATTAAGTTCAACTGAAAATTAAAGCCATTACTTACATTCTTCCTCACGGCAGATCTTTCTGGCATCTGGTTTTAAACGTGGCAGGCACAAGTCACTGGATAAGCCATTTTCAGTCATACATTCTACAGTCCTCTCCTTTACCCCCACTCCACATGACACTGAACACTAGAGATGGATAGCCGCCAAGTGTTAGTTTAGAAGGTAGTAAATAATTAACATAATTATGTCAGTATATTGGTCTTGGCATTAATTTGTGCTTGAGGCAGCTATCAAAAATCAGCTTGCACATCAGTACTCACCTTGGTCCACTTTCCCACTCTCCAGGTAGCTGCTTGTGAACATCCTTTGATATTACATTTATAAATGTATGGGGATGGCTCTACTGGGCATTCTTGGTACGCTACAGTTCGAAGGCCATGGATGTGCTGATTTTGAAGAGAGTGGATTCCAACACAGTATGTGATCGTCTGCCAATAACCAAACCCACAGCTGGCTGAGCACTGAAATAAAAATCACCAAGCACAGGAATTATTTCTACAAAACAACATTTCAGCAGCATTGTAACTACAGATAAGTCAGCTGTGATCCTCGCTTTGGCAAAAGCCTGTAACTCCATGTATGCCACCTCAGGGCTGGTACATCAGTGTGCAGACGTGAAGGTCTACAATAGTTATGCATGCAAGGAGACGGGAAGTCACACCACGCCCTTTTCTGAGAGCTCACAGAGGTTCCAGGGCAGTTCCCTCTCAGCTGCAGTACACGCACAGACAGGCACACATAGATAGGGTAGATGTGCTACGGAAACAAGGCACTGATCCATCACTTCACTGAAATCAAGGAAAAGATTTTTGTTTACTTTGGTGTGATTAGCTTGCAAGACTGTTTCCTGGGAACCAGCACAGGAATCCTGTGGTAGGGGTACCTGTCCTCTAGCTGGTGTTCATAGGTCCCAGGGGGCTACCTGAGGACTGATAACACAGTCACTACAATAAATCATGGCTAACTGGAAAGTTCGATGTGCAGAAAGTTTAGGCACCCATGTTCACATAAAAATATACATTTTTTCTCTGCAGACATAATGCACTTACAGCAATATAACACTATTATAGTGTTAGTATAGTATATATTAGTTATATAAAAATGTGTGAGCAGTGTAATTAGTTTACCTGCGACAGTTCTCTTGTAAGCACGATATATTTAGAAGTAGCCATCCTGCAGTTTTTGGTGGATGCAGGCTTAGTGGCAGGATCACAGAAGCTTTCATCTACTTGGAGCTGGTTTTCATCCACACACTTAACAGTTCGGTACATTTCCTTTCTTCTATACGATGCCAAGCACTGAGTGAGAAAAACAATCACAGGTTTTGTACGTAAACTAGCAATTCACAGAAAAAAAGTTATTTGACAATTTGCCACACACACCAGTAAAACCCAGACAGCAACAACTTTTATGACATCACTTATCAGTGTCAGACTGACTTACTTACTGAATCAAAACCCTTTACCTTCTTTTCAAAGTTCAGGTAACTCCATCAACTGAAATAACAATCATGTATAATGATATGACACTAACTGTGGCGTGAGATGGAGAAGAAAATTAAAGTGTCAAGCCAAGATGATAGGTTGAGTGAAAAAGCTTTTCTGTATGAAAAGGGAAGAGCCAAAAAAGGATTTCAGTGAAATATGAAAGTAATAAGTTTGTCTTGAAAAAAAAAACCCAAAGAGAATCCCTGGAGACATGTTCCTGATATTACACTGATAGAAGGAAAGAATGATGATCCGAGGGCTGGAACACCTCTCCTATGAAGACAGGCTGAAAGAGCTGGGGCTGTTCAGCCTGGAGAAGAGAAGGCTCCGGGGAGATCTTATAGCGGCCTTCCAATACCTGAAGGGGGCCTATAAGAAAGCTGGGGAGGGACTTTTCGTTAGGGCAGTTAATGACAGAACTAGGGGGAATGGCTTTAAACTGAAAGAGGGTAGGTTTAGATTAGATAT